AGATCGTTCCAATAGATCAAACTAGTAATGTTAAATACCATAAACTACATGACTATAATACCAGAGCAGGATTTAGCTTCTGGTAACTTATTGAATATTGTGTACATAGCACTGGTTTCTCGCTTTTGAGACTGTTGATATGGTTTGGAAATGATTTGTCTCTGCCAAAACTCATGTTAATATTCAACCTTCAATTTGGTGGTGTTGGGAAGTGGAACCTGGTAGGAGGTGTTTGGGTAATGGGGGTAGGTCTCTTGTGAATGGCTTTGTGAGGCTCTCAAGGTAGGAATGAGTTCTCGCTCCTGCGCGACTGGATTATTTTTCATCGAAATGGATTAGTTCTCACAAGCGTGAGTTGTCATAAAGCCACAGCACTCCTCAGGCCTTTCCTTCTTTGCTTCTATCAGTTTCCCCTTTGACCTTCTCTGCCACATTGTGACATGACATGAAAGTCCTCACTAGAAGCCAGGGCCATGCCCTTGGACTTCTTAGCCTGCAGAGCCATGAAGCTAAATAAACCTCTTTTCTTTGTTAATTACCAGTATTTTTATAGTAACACAAAATAGACTACGATACTGGGTAAGTAGCAGAACCAGCATTCTTAAATGTGCAGTTTGCAGTGAGTGGGGGCTAGACTTGTCACTAAGTACAATACACTTGGGAATATAATGCATCTTCATACCTTCACTGGAAAAAGCCACAGCATGAAAATGATTCCAGCTAAATGGACTATGTAGTCCATAAGAACAAATCGAAAGAGACAAACTCTTAAGTTTCTGACCCAGATTTGAGAGCTCTGTACATTTGATGCTACACAAAATGCTACAGAAAATACTATGCAGCCAGTGGGGTTACTACATACAGAGGTATACAGCAAGCTGTCCCAGAATCTGAGGACAAACTTATGCTCTGAAAATATCACAAGTTAACTGTTCGTGACAAAACTTACTTCAAACGAAATTTACATACAGAATTCATGTACAAGAAAGTATTTTGGTATAGTTATTAGATAATCAAAATTTAAATTTTATAGTATAATTTTAGACAAACATATATAAAGGTTGTATTTATTTAATACAACTTGTCCCAGAAAAAGTCTAAATATTATCTCTCAATTATTTTTAGAACATAAAAATGGCCAAAAATTCTTCTCTGATCTTTTTTTTTTCCTTTCAACTGTGTATCATACTAAAACAACCAATAAATAAATAAAGATAAATTTAGGCTAAACTTATAAATAAACATACCTAGAACTTTATATTAAATTGATGATCACTATCTCATTATTTCCATAAATTAAAATCTACCATATCCACAAAATCAAAAAATCCAATGTTTAAAACAAATTTCCTAATGGATTGTTTCCTTTAGAAAAATCCATTCAGGATGTGTTTGTATGTGTGCGTAATTTAGCTTCTAAAGCCTTATCATAAAATCACAGATCAAATAGTACATTACCCTAGAAAATTTCTTTTATTGATCTAAATATTATTTCAGATGTTAGTATTCTATTTATCTTTTGATAACCGATAATTAACCTTAATTTCTAAGAACAGATTAAAGGTAAACACTGAAAAACTGTTGTTTCAATTCAGAAGCTGATACACGTTCTGTATATTGGTAAATAAGATACTTTTTTAAATGTTCTTTTCATGATCCCTATTTATGAAATGAATTTAGCCTAAGTCTTTTCCTGTAAGAGAAGCATTTTCTGTAGGTTATTATTATAATGGCGCTTGTAAATCTGTGAGACAAAAATCAAAATTCTTAGTAGGCTAGTCAGTGCTCTAAAAACATTGTTATTATGCCAGAAATTGTGTTTTCTTTCCCAAACTATTACTGTTATGAAAAACAGTAAAAAGATAACATCCAATTTATGCCAGATAAATAAGATACAACTATCTCCTGTTCACCACCAGGCCTATAGTTAGCAATACTGTATTGTGCACTTAAAAATTTCTTAAGGGATCAAATGTCATGTTAAATATTTTCACCTTAATACAATATATATTTATACATGGATATGTGTGTTCATATAAATGCACATTAAGGCAAAATTTTTAAATATTTTATATTAATTATCTAAACAATAAAATACAAGTAGATAATTAAAAGTAATACCCAAAATACAGAAATAAGAAATAAAGACATAACTATCATATGTGTATAACAAATAGTGTGTAATGACTAACAAATATTAGAAAGTTGAGAAGATAAAATCTCAAAGATAAAGTTAATAATTTATTATTTCAACAGAGGCAGAATATGGATGTAGTGATAGAAATTGGGAAAAAAATATGTATGGCTATAGTGTTTGATATATCATGGCTTATGTTACCTTTAATTTCAGTTAAAAACTGGATTTAGCAACCAATCTAAAGTAATGATAGTTTTAGAATCTGTATCTTCTCTTTCCACTCTTTTAAAAAACACTTTAGTTTAAACCATATTTTCTGAATTAACTTCTCTTTTTTGAAGAAAAAGGTAGAAACCACAACACACAGAATTGTACCAGATCTTGGCAAAATAAAACATTCATATAAAAAAATTATTTGTAAAATTTCACCACATTGGGTTCAATTTAATTAAGTTGTCTACATATCACCAGGCTTTCCTCTTTACGTGCCTAACAATACTGTGTTACAATGTTGAGTCAAATATTATTACACTATTGAATTTTTTTAAAAACTCATATTCAAAGTAAAAGCTAATGCCCTTTTTATAAAAATGAACAATATAGCAATAAAAGCTCTAAGTGTTCAATTAGTTATTTGCTGATTTGGCAACAACCTATATTTGCATTTCAACTGTGAAGAATTTCTGCAAAAAAAAATCCAAAAACCAAAATAACACTTTTAACTTTTTCCTTAGTAATGATCAAGGAGAAATCATAGAAGGATTTTCAAGGTTTTTGCATAATGAATCTCCGCAGGTTTTCTTAGTGGATTTTTTTTCTCTGATGAGTTTGTGCTTCTCACACAAGCAATAATCGAGAAAAACAGTAAAAGAAAATGTACTCAAGAAACCACTTTAGACAAATCTCTTAGGAGGAATTATGTATTGAATTTTTTTCCTCCAATTCTGCTCTCATGCTCCCTTTCCACCCACCATCTCCTTGTGCCTGCCACACACACACACACACACACACACACACACACACACTCCCTCACTACAGTAATAGGCTCTTCTTATCAGAGGGTTCACGTGGGAAAAAGAAAACATTTGTTCCTGTAAAACTGATGTTTTGTTTAAATTAGTTTAAAATCATGGCCCTTGTTCATTTATTTATGTTAATAAATGCCAACGGCTTTCTTTAAATCTTTATTGGGGTACGCTACAGTGTCCAGTCATGATATCTAACTTATTTGAATACATGAATTCATGTGCTATGTACACACAAATAATTAAAAGGCCCACATGTACCATAAAGAAGTTGCAAGTTTAATAATTTCCTGTAGCTAAATAAAATTTATGTCCTTCTCACTTAAAGTTATACTGAAAATAAATATCTCATTTACATTTTTAAAGACTCAGTTTATCTACATTCAGTAGGGTTTTTTGAATTAAATATAGTATAACATAATAAATGTATTTATCAACCAGTTTTATCCTTTTTACACTTACTGTGATGGGAAACTCCTCAAACTATCTGCATTTACATTTTGTGTTTAATGAGCTGTCTTTCCCTTTATGCTTTCAAAATTACTTATACAGTAATATATGTATGCTCACAGAATTCTGTTTTAAGAGTTTTTGCCTTGGAACATAATAAAGAAAAATAAACATCTCTTATTTCCTTTGATTTTTACTATCTCTCTGGCTTTGAACTCCATTTCAGAAAAAAATAATGCATACAATTAAATGGTTTTTAATAAATTAATGGAGTTATACAACCATCAACACAATTCGGTTTTTGAACATTTCTATCACTACAAAAGGCGTCCACCTGGCCCTGTGTGATCAAGTGCCTTTTCTTTGGTATCCTACCTAACCCTCTCACCCTCCCTACCCTCACCCTGGACACAAATTCCAATCTTTCGGTATCTCTATGATGCAGGATATTTCCCTGACTCCTCCATGGGGCTTGCCCTCTTTTACTCAGCGTGTAATTCTCAACTTGCTTGTGGGAGGGAGCGAGCGGTGAACAAGGTGGGAACTGGAGTACCTGAGTGCTGGAACCAGCTGGCCGTTTTCGCACTGGCAGGATCAAACCCCACTCACTGAGACCCGCTGCATTCCACCCCATGCGGGAGGCAGTGCACAGTGAGCAAGTGCAGGAAGCAGAGCCAGCGCGCAGAAGCGAACTCCTGCAGGCTCTAAGGCAGCAGACAGGGGGTGCCTATGACTACCAAAGCCCCAGAGGGTGTGTCTTTTAGCGCTGCCATCCACAGACAGCTTCAGGGTTAACAGCTCCCTGAGCCCTCTGCCTTTTCATGGGAGGTGGCTGCCTTCCGCCAGGGAGGGCAAAGGGTCAGTGTGATGACCTTTTGTAACAGCTCTGTGGTTTCTGAGCTCTTGTCCAGTGTCCAGGAAAAATGAGATTGCACGAAGCAATTGAAGGATGGTAAATGTGGGGAATTTGTTTGCCGATGAAAGTGGCTGTCAGTGAAAAGGGGAGCTAAAAAGGGGAGAGGGGTGTAGGCAGTGTTCCCCCGAAGTCTAGCTTTCTCCAACTCAGTTATTTTCTTAAGTTACCATGTCAAGCTTTCCCTCTGAAGTCAAGTCACTTCTCTCTGACATCCAACTGTAGTTCACGCTCCTCTCCAGCTGAGTCTGGGGGCTTGATAAGGTACAGGATGGCAGGCAGGATGGGCCATGGATGGTTTAGGAAAAGGCAACATTCAAGCAGGAAAACAGAGATACTAAGTTCTCACTTTGGACTGTGCTTTCAGGTTTTCTGGAGTGAGGGTGGGGTTTCACCAGGGACTCACTCTTTTCTGCCTGGAATTTCTCTGCCTCCTGTCCCTATGATCTATTCATAGAATCATGTTGATATGGTTTGGCTGTGCACCAAATCTCAACTTGAATTCTCTCTCCCAGAATTTCCACGTTATGTGAGGGACCCAGCAGGAGATAATTGAATCATGGGGACCAGTCTTTCCTTTGCTATTCACATGATAATGAATAAGTCTCATGAGATCTGATGGGTTTAGCAGGAATTTCCACTTTTGCTTATTCCTCATTTTCTCTTGCCATCACCATGTAAGAAGTGGCTTTCACTTCCCGCCATGATTCTGAGACCTCCCCAGCCATGTGGAACTCCAAGTCCAATTAAACCTCTTTTTCTTCCCAGTCTTGGGTATGTCTTCATCAGCAGAGTGAAAACAGATAAATGCGGTAAATTGGTACCAGGCATAGAGTGTTACTGAAAATATACCTGAAATGGTGGAAGCGACTTTGAAACTGGGTAACAGGCAGGAGATTGGAACAGTTTGAAGGGCTCAGAAGAAAACAGGAAAATGTGGGAAAGTTGAAACTTCTTACTGCCTTGTTGAATGGCTTTGGCCAAAATATTGATAGTGATATGGACAATAAAATCCAGGCTTGAGATGGTTGCAGATGGAGAAGAGAAAATTGTTGGGAACTGGAGCAAAAGTGACTCTTGCTATGTTTTAGCAAAGAGACTGACAGCATTTTGCCCCTGCCCTAGAGACTTGTGGAACTTTGAACTTGAGAGAGATGATTTAGGCTATCTGACAGAAGAAATTTCTAATTAGCAAAGCATTCAAGAGGTAACTTGAGTACTGTTACAGGCATTCAGTTTTAAAAGGGAAACAGAGTATAAAAGTTCAGAAAATTTGGAACCTGCCTATACAATGGAAAATAAAATACCATTTTCTGAAGAGAAATTCAAGCCAGCTGCAGAAATTTGCATAAGTAGCAAGAAGCCTAATGTTAATCACCAAGACGAGGGAGAAAATGTCTCTAGGGTATGTCAGAGACCGTTATGACTGCCTCTCCCATCACAGGTCTGGAGACCCAAGAGGAAAAAGTGGTTTTGTGGGTCAGGCCCAAGGTCCCCGTGCTGTGTGTAGCCTAGTGACTTGGTGTCCTGACTAGCTGCTCCAGCTGTGTCTGAAAGGGGCCAACATACAGCTCAAGCTGTGACTTCAAAGGGTGGAAGCCCCAAGCCTTGGCAGCTTCCATGTGGTGTTGAGCCTGTGGGTTCACAGAAACCAAGGATTGAGGTTTGGAAACCTCTGCCTAGATTTCAGGGAATGTATGGAAACTCCTGGATGTCCAGGCAAAAGATTGCTGAAGAGTTGGGGCCCTCGTGGAGAACCTCTGCTAGGGCAGTGTAGAAGGGAAATGTGGGGTCTGAGCCCCCACAAGAGTCCCTACTGGGGTACCACCTAGTGGAGCTGTGAGAAAAGGGCCACTGTCCTCCATACCCCAGAATGGTAGATCCACTGACAGTTTGCACTGTGACCCTGGAAAATCTACCAACATGGAACACCAGCCCAGGAAAACAGCCAGGAGGGAGTCTGTACCCTGCAAGCCACAGAGACAGAGCTGCCCAAGACCATGGGAGCCTACCTCTTGAATAATATGACCTTGGTGAGAGACCTGGAGTCACAGGAGATCATTTTGGATCTTTAAAATTTGACTGCCATACTGGATTTTAGACTTGCATGAGACATTCAGTCCTTTTGTTTTGTCCAATTTTTCTCATTTGGAATGGCTGTATTTACCCAATACCTGTACCACCATTGTATCTAGGAAGTAACTAGCTTGCTTTTGATTTTACAGGCTCATAGGCAGAAGGGACTTGCCTTGTCTCAGGTGAGATGTTGGACTGTGGACTTTCAGGTTAATGCTGAAATGAGCTAAGACTCTGGGGGACTGTTTGGAAGGCACAATTAGTTTTGAAATGTGAGGACATGAGATTTGAAGGGATCTGAGGCAGAATAATATGATTTGGCTGTGTCCCCACCCAAATCTCAATTTGAATTATATCTCAATTCCCACGTGTTGATGGAGGAATTCCCACGTGTTGATGGAGGAAGCCAGGGAAAGGGTTCATGGGGGCCAGTCTTTCCTGTGTTATTCTCATGATAGTGAATAAGTTTCATGAGTTCTGATGTGTTTATCAGAGGTTTCCACTTTTGTTTCTTCTTCATTCTCTCTTACTGCCACCATGCAATAAGTGCCTTTCACCTCCTGCCATGATTCTGAGGTCTCTCCACCCATGTGGAACTGGAAGACCAATTAAACCTCCTTTTCTTCCCAGTCTTGAGCATGTCTGTATCAGCAACATAAGAACACATTAATATACATACAATATATAGTTTTTTGAATCTGGCTTCTTAATTATAAGGATAATCCATGTAATAGCATATTTAAGTAGTTTATTCCTTTTTATTGCTGAATAGCATTCCACTGAATGGATGTACCACTTTTTTCCACTCACTAATTTACAGACATTTTGATTGTTTTGTGCTTTTTGATTATTGCAAATAGCACTACTTTCTCTGTGAGAAAAAGTACACTACTTATTGTTTACACAATGAGTACACTAATAATACATTTATGTAAATATATTGTGAATAAGCACTCAGGTGCAAGCCTTTATGTAGACATATATTTTCAATAATTGGGGGGTAGATACTGAGACATAGAATTGCTGGGTTGTAAAATAAATTTATATTAATCAACTTTCTAAAACTGCTGAATTTTTTCCAAGTAGGCTGTACCAGCAACGTAAAATGGTTCCAATTTCTCCACATCCTTGCTATTTTCCTTTTAATAAATTATTACTGTAGACATCTTAGTGGCTATAAAGTGGTCGATCATTGTGGTTTTTAATTATTCTAATTAGCACCAATGATGAACTTTTTCGTTTGCTTATTGGGCACTTTATCTTCTTCGGTGAAGTGACTATTTAAACCTTTTACTTAAAATGGATTGTTCATTCCCTTATCCAGTTATGAGTCTTATTTTGTTCTGTATACAAGTCTTTTATTGTATATTTGATTTTCAAATATTTTCTACACAAGTTTGTGGCTTTACATTTTGTTAATAAAATATTTTGAAGGTCAGATGTCCTTTTTAATTTTTATGAAGTTTATTTATTCTTTCTTTTTGTTTTTAATTATACTTTTGTTTCTTACCTTAGAATTCTTAGCTTAACCCAGGTTTTAAAGATTATCTATGTTTTTTGAAATATATATATAATTTAAACTCTTGTCTTCAAAAATCTACTATGTTTTTTATTGTGAGTGTGCATTATATGAAATAGAGTATAAATTCATCTTTCTGTCTGTGAATATGCAATTATTCCAGGAGTATTTTTGAAATGAACTACATTTTTTTATCGAATTCTCTTGGTTTCTTTGTTGGAAATCAATTGACCTTAAAGAGAAAATTTTTATATGTAATTTTATAGGTTCAATGTTTATGCTTATGCTAATATCACATTGTCTTGATTCCTTAGCATCATAGTAAGTTTTTAAGTAAGGAAGTATAAGTTGTTCTTTTCATTCTTCTCTTTAAATTTGTTGAAGCTATTCTGGATTATTTGCATTTCCATATAAATTTTAGGATAAGCACATCAATTTGGGCAAAATGCCTGCTGGGGATTTTATGGAGATCACCTTTCTTAACAATATTGAATTTTCAATCCATTTACACAGGATGTCTCAATTTATTTAGAATTTTGTTACTTTCTATCAACAATACTTTTAGTTTTCAGTGTATAGAGTCTTACACTTTGTTGTTAAATTTGTTTTTCTCTATTTCTTTTATTTTGAGTGTTAACATTCAAACATTCTTTAGTATTTCAGTTGCTAGTATATAGAAATGCAAATGATTTCTATACCTTGTTCTTACATCCTGTGAACTCACTCAGCTTGTTTATTGGCTCTAGAAGTGGTTTTGTGGATTACTTAAGACTGTCTACATACACAGTCATGTCACCTGCAAATAGAGACAGTTTTATTTTTTCTTTCCAATTGAGATAATTTTGGTTTTTTTATCTTTCCTTATTGTACTGGTAGAACTTTCAGTTCAATGTTGAATTGGAGTGGTGAGAATGACTATTTCCTTAGTCCCAATCTTTGGGGAAAAGCACTTAGTCTTTTACCCTTAAGTATGATGTTAGCTCTAGTGTTTCCATAGATGCCGATTATCAGGTTGAGAAAGTTTCCTTTTGTTCTTAATTTGTTGAGTTATTGCCATTAATAGATGTTGGATATTGTCAAATAATATTCCCATTTTTTTATTTACTCTATTTTATATGGCAAAAGGCATTAATTAATGTTCTGATGTTAAACCGATCTTGAATTTTTGGGATAAATCCTACTTGGTTATGATTTATAATCATTTTTATATGTTGCTGAATTTGGCTTACTTATGTTTTATTAAGAAGTTTTTGATCTGTACTCATGAATATTAGCCCATTGCTTTCTTGTAATTATCTGGCTTTGGTATTACTGGTATTATAAAATAAACTGAGAAGTGGTCTCCCCCTCTCAATTTTCTGGATTTTTTGAAGTACTGGTATTACTTCTTTCTTAAATATTAGATAGAATGGCTTCTCTTTCAATTCCTTTAAAATATTAGTGTTCTCTTCAAATTGTTCCAATTGTGTTCTCATATTATTTCATGCACTCTCCTTTAATAATCAAATCTGCAACTATACTATCAGCTTGCAGTTTGTGAACTGAGGACATCCAAATCTGTATCTCCAATTCACATTTCCCTCTTAAGTTCTATATTTCTTTTTAATTGGCTACTGGCTATTTGTTCCTAAATGTTCACTGGCATTTCAACTACCAAAATTATTCTCTCTTTGATAACAGAATAAAAGCCATAGAGTTTCACCCAGAACCATGAGCTTACCCACATCTATCTTGTGCTCCATATATTTGATGATTACTAAATCTTGTAAACACTCCATCCAGGGTATCTCTCTTGAATCTTCCCTCTCATCTTCTCCTCTGACACAATTATTTTTTCCCACTTGGATTAAGCTAATAACTTGACAGTTTTTTTGTTGTTGTTGCTCCTGTTTGGGGGCTACTTTTAATCACATGTTTTAACCAGAAGACCTCATTTGAAATATTAGGGGTGGTAACAGGAATATCCTCTAATTTGTGGGTGAAATCTTTAATCAATAGAAAAGGCAATGTCCTTCAAAGCAGCCTGTCTTTACAGCTGTGTGTGGCAGTATGATAAAGAATAATAATAGGTCCCTTCTTTGTATTTACACTTCTTCTTCTTCTTGTCTTTTTATAATGTAAACACTCTGCCTAAAAGAATATGTTAATACTATTCTTTTCTCCACTAAAAAATGTATCTTGCCCTTAATTATTTGCTGCAAGGGGGTTGTAAAATTTATCTGCTTTTCACCCAAAACCTTAGATCCACAAGGAAAGTTATGATGTGTATTGTCAAAAACATAAATTACAAATAATCTTTTTGTATCATAATTTTCTTTCGTTCTCTCACGTGACTATCTACTGATACCATTTCCCTAAAAAACAATCAGCAAAAGTAGAGTTTTAAAGGAACGGTTTAAAAGTCAAGCACAATTATCCATAGATAATAAAATCTGGGAAAAGAGGAAGATGAGAAATAAGAAAAAGAAATTATTTTCCTACTCCTAACCCTCAGAAAGTTATGTGTAATACATTTGCTTGATGAATGGATATTGTAGTTTCAATCACAAAAAGCGATTACAGTGACATTTTTAACAATCTGCATGTACAATAACAATTGTTCTGAAATGCCTGTGATTATATATTTAAACTAACTGCTGTTAATAAAATCGCTTATTTAAAAAAAAAATCAGTTAACAAATGAAATAACAGTTAATACCAATTACCAGTTGTCACGCTAACCGCAAAATACTAAAAGGTAGATATTTTGTTCCTTCACTTGTTCAGTTTGCTTCCAAGATGGGGGAAAGGGTATAAAGTTAAACATCTTTGAGATTACAATGCTGGGGTAAGCTATTCTTCCTCTGGCATTTACACACTATCATTAAAGTTATATTTCAACACTATTAATTATGCTTGACTGTCTCCTCGTCTAGTTTTGAAAGTAAGTAATTACAGAATATTTATATCCTGAAACATTTCTATATTGCTAGTTCAAAAGATATGCTTTTCAATATAGTGAGATTGTTCCTTCTTTCAACAAAAGTCACTTTATTTAAAATTAAATGGAAGGCTCCATTTCCCTTTCATATAAATCACATAGAAAATTTAAAAACCAAAACCAATGGTATATACAAGACCTTAAAAGACCCACATTATGGTCATATTTTCTGATTTCTGATTTTCTGAACTTTAAAAATATACTTACAAGAGACTTTTTGTGGAACCCGCTTTTCTTTGTATAGTGTTATTCTTTTTATATAATCATACATTTCATTTGTGTAATACTGCATACCTTGTAGCTCTTACGTGGCAAAAAATATTTTTTGCTCAAATTTGTTTATATTTAATGCAATTTGAATATATTATATAAAATGGCTTTTAACATCTTGGTGTTTAAAAATATTCAGTAGATGGAAAAGATAGTCCTTTTAACAATTTATGCTATGTCAGTAAATTGCTTATACTTAGTTGTAGAAGTACCAAATTCATAAAAGTCTGTATGGTAAGGATATTAGAAATTATCTAGACCCACGGTTCTCAAAGTGTGTTTCTGAACAGTTAGCATCAGCATCACCTGGACATGTGTTAGAAATGCAAATTCTCAGGCTCCAAGAAGACCTAGTTTGTGGATGGGGCTCTGACATCTATTTAAACTAGTCCTGCTGGTTATGCTGAGGCCTGCAAAGTTTGAGGACCACTGGGCTAGGCTAGTTATTCCCAAACACCTGTCTGTAGTTGGATACTGATGCATGACAAAATCACACCAGTTAGTGTAAGGGAAAAAATTACAGCAGGCAGCAATTTCTTAGAAAACAGGGAACTTTACTCTAAAATGACGTCTTATTGGCAATTTCTGGAAGTAAATAATTAAATGACGATAATGGCAAGTCTCTTCTTGAGGTCCTTTTTTTAGCAAAATTTAAGGTCTGACAGTCAATGTTTACTCTTAATATTTTTTGTGTGTTGTGGGGTGGGAGTGGAGGCCACTGTGTGGTGGTAAGTAAACTATTATTTCGTATAATTCCCCTTATTTATAGATGAAAAACTGACCCAGCAAGATTAAGGAAACGTCTCTGAGTCATATAATTATCTATATGTACAGCTAGAAAAAACCCACAAATCTGATCACCATGGAATCCAGTGATGTTTGATTATATTATGCTTTTTCTATAGAAACATAGGAGCAAATTTAATGGCACATGGTTTCACAGAACTATAAACACAAAGGAATCTATGATGAAGCAGAAGTAATAAATAATCCATAAAGTAACCGAAGACCAGGTACAGTGGCTCACGCCTATGATCCCTGCACTCTGGGAGGCCAAGGTGAGCAGATCACCTGAGGTCAGAAGCTTGAGACCAGCCTGGCCAACATGGAAAAACTCCATCTCTACTAAAAATAAAAAAAATAAAAAAAATAGCCAGGCGTCGTGGCAGTCACCTGTAGTCACCTGTAGTTCCAGCTACTCAGAAGGCTGAGGCAAGAGAATCCCTTGAATCTGGGAGACAGAGGTTGCAGTGAGCTTAGATCATGCCATTGCACTCCAGCCTGGGCAACAGAGGGAACTCCATCTCGCAGTGTCTCATGCCTGCAATCCCAGGGAGGCCGAGGCAGGCAGGTCACCTGAAATCAGGAATTCGAGACCAGCCTGGCCAATATGGAGACACCCCGTCTCCCCTAAAAATACAAAAAAATTAGCCAGGCGTTGTGGCAGTCGCCTGTTTTCCCAGCTACTTGGGAGACTGAGGCAAGAGAATTGCTTAAACCTGGGAATTGGAGGTTGCAGTGAGCCGAGATTGTGCCATTGCACTCCAGCCTGGGCAACAGAGGGGCACTCCTTCTCAAAAAAAATAAATAAATAAAGTAACAGAAGACCCTCAATCAGGAAAAGGCATTAAAGAGGTTGGCAAATCCTCAAGGATTCAACAGGGTTGTGCCAGGAATGAGATCACCATGAACCACAATTTGGCTGACAAAACTGTATGGGGACCTTCATATATCTGTACCTTCACTTAATATTTTGCCTTTTCTTAGAGTCATAGAATCTTTTCCTTTACATTGTACTGACAAAATACATAGGATTTATATGAAATGCTACTTTTTTTTCAATCTTATAAATGAGCATACAGAATTACACTCTAAATTAGATTCATTTTACCACAGCTAAGGATAATTAGCCAAATTGGGGATACATTTAAAATCTGATTTTGAGTCAGGATGTGGAGGTAGAACAGAGAGAGGAAGGATGAACACAACTTCACTCCCTGGTTCAAAACAACAGATTACTGCCTTGTTTCACAATTTGAGTGATTTTGATGTACCTTTGCAAAAGTTAAGGGTGAAGCAGAATAGTAGTAAAGAAAGTGAGAAGCAGAACATGTTATCCATTCAAAGTAGCTTTTGCTTTACATTGGTTGAGGTCTGATTTCTTTCCCTTCATGAACTAAGGAGATGCTCTGTCTGTGGTTCTCAAAGTGTGATACTGTGTGTAACCTAATCAAAGTAAAACAAAACAGACTTAAATTGCAGCTAACTCATACTTAAGTAAGACATCAGAAAATCTCCCTACTTGTAAAAGTTATTGCTGATTGCGATATTATACAACATGGATATGATTACTTGAGGTTTAGCAAGACAGCACCTAATACAGTGCTTTAAAAAAAAAAAAAAAAAACAATGATTTAGTAAATAGTATAACCCATCTACCATGTTAATATGACAGACTTATTCAAAACCAAAGTATGCTGAAAAGATGAATCTTTTTTAAAGGGAACTCAAATTTATACTGAAAAACTCAAAGATTAGTTCAGCAAGTTTAATAGTCTATACATTTTATGGCCTTAGGTTAATATATTTAAATACATTGTTTTTGTTTACTATCTCTACTAAAGTAAGACTAGCAATAAAATCAAACAACTTATATGCCTCCTTTTCTAGTGTCATCAATTTGTCCACTTGCAAGAGTGAAACGGATGGTTGCCTACATGCATGGTCTGAATGGAAGAATTTCAGAAAGGTTTCCTGCACAAAAATTATTCTTTCATAAATTGAAATAATTTTACAAAGAGCCTATTATTCTTATGTGTTAACCATTGCCTTTTTCATATATTCCCATTAAAAATTCAGTTTGTCCTAGGCCTTAACCTATCACAATCACAATAGTAAGACTATTCTTAGCAGGTTCCCTTTTCTCTTCCAACATAACCAAGGGCATCATAAGAGCACTGTGACCCTGAATACAAAAGGTAGAGGGGAGTTCACTGAAGAAATACTGATCGCTACACAATGTGGTCCTGAGCTTACCTCCTACAATATCTTTCTTGAGTTTTCACAGGATTTGCTATCAACACCAAGCCTTATGGAGTTTAAATTCATTTAATCAGTCTTTGCCTTTTTGACTCTCAAAAGGAGCTTTTATGGATGTTATCAACTACCTCTACCAAAATCGAATAAGTAGGATTGGATTTTCTTGTATATGTATTCACAGATTTAAGAAAAAAAACTAATCATTTATTTCAAACACTTTTTCATTTGACTTTCACAATATCATACTCTTAATTTCACTATTCATTTCTCATTTTCCAGCCATCTCAAAGCTATTTGTCTCAAGTCTCCATCTTCAGATGTCTAGTCTACACTCCTGCCCTTGGTGACTTCTTCAAGTCTTGTGGCTTTAAACAAGGTATATATGTTGAGGCTCCCCTAATTTACATCTCCAGTCTTAACTCATAGCAGAAATCTTATCTAGTCACTATGACTGCCTGTGTATCATCTTTATATCAAAGTCTAACAGGACTTAACTTCACATGTCAAAAAATACAACTCTCATTCCTCCCAAAAACAAACTCCTCCATTTTTCCCATATCCGTTATTAGAAGCCAAATCTTTCCAGATACTCAAGCCAAAAACAGGGCAGTCGCCTGGGACTCATCTTTTCCTCTACATCCCGCATTCAATTTATCTGGAAATCAAACTGACTCTACCTTCAAAATCTGAGTGTCTCTCACCACCTTCACTTCCACTGCCCTGGCTTATCTCATGATTGTTTTGTAGTTTTAGCCTCCTAACTACTTTAATTGATGATTGTTTCCTCACCTCCTTTTGATCTGTTAACAACCCGATAGTGAGAGTCATTCAGTTACAATGTAAGTCAGATCATGTCACTTACGTGGCCAAAACTCATCAGAACCTCTTAGAACTAAGTCTCCAGATGTGCCTAGCACTTGCCTCAGCATTCTGATCTTATTATCTGTCGTCTTCTTCTGTCTCCCTTAAGTACATACACACTATTTTCTTGAATGTGCCTGGAACACTGTCAGTTTGGAGACTTTGACCTTACTCTCTTTCCTAGCATGAAATGTATTTCCCCCCAATAACATTACAGCATGCTCCCTCACCTCCCATAAGTCTTTGCCTGAGAAATCATTTTCTCAGTGAGCCTTCTTTTCCACCATGTACTCAATACGTCTACCCCATTTAAAATGGAAATTTCCTTCACCCATGACACTCACTATTTTCCTTTCCTGCCATGTTTTTCCTCTGTGGCGTTTATACCATCTAACTACAGTGCACCTATCCAATGGAGTCATTGTAGGCACTTTGGCATTCTTTAAATAATCATATAGCTTAATTTATATAATCTGTTGTAAATTACAGAGCCTATTTCAAATATAAAGCTCCTACATTTTAATATGTTTTATTACCCTTTGGGCTGACATGTATTTATACAGCACATTATTATTTCCAAAGTATTTTTCCATGAAACTTTCTTCCTTATGGCCACAAAGCAATAGTATGTTAAGCAGGGAGGCATCATTATCAAAATTCCATTGATGAGAGCACAAGGCGCAATGAATACCAGGAGCTCTCTACTCTTGCTTACTCGGGGCAAGTGGTAAAAATAAAGCAAAGCTTTAAACATTAGCATCACTATTAAATAAAGGATGATCATTTCAAAAAAGTGTAAAACACTTTTTGTATATTTTGAATTTAATTTTTCTTGATTTGAGGGAAAAGATGAAAGAAACGACAATCTCCATCCTCTGCATGAAAATAATCTGGGTGCCTGTTTTAGTTGTAATCCACCTAAATTGATTTTTTGCTTATACACTTGTGTTTTAATTTACTCTTTCATCTGGAAAATCCATAGGCACATGGATATTCATTATTTAACTATGCAGTTAATTTTTCACCATCACTGCATTTGTTTAAATGTGGACCTTTAAAACATGAAAATGGTTCTTTTAATCTGGTTTAAATTCATTCTTGGAGAAAATGTAGAAATACATTAAGTATTCTATATTTAATAATTTAATTAAAATTAAATGGGCATATCAATAAAACAAGATAACAGTCTTGATAAAATGAACTACATTATTCATACAAACCCTGCATGAAAATGTCTTATGTTGTTCTCAAATTACACTCAATCCTGCATATATCCCGTGTTTACTTGTGGTTGTAACTTATTTCTTAGTCATGGTAAAATGCTTGCTATTATAAGTTGATGAATGATTTGCAATTGTTATAGACAAACTTTGCAAACTGGAAATAACATTCTTGCTGTTCTGCTGATCACTACTTTTTCTAAAGTAAACAAAAAAGAGACAAACAATGAAGAACAACCATTAAGTCATAATATGCTTTCATTGGAAGGTAAAAATTTTCTGCATATTTACTTCACTTTATTTTCTTGTAGAAACATACACTTCTGGATCATATTGTGGTTTTTTTTTTCCAAAATGACTTTGCCAAAATATTTAAGTATATAGAATAAAAATTTTATATGGCAATATGTTTTTACATATAATAATATACCTATCACTGATTTCTCAACTATGATGTCTTGATATTTTCTTTTTTTTTTTTCTTTTTTTTTTCTTTTTTTTTTTTGAGATTGAGTCTTACTCTGTCATTCAGGCTGGAGCACAGTTGCGCGATCTTGGTTTTGGCTTACTGCAATCTCCATCTCCCGGGTTCAAGTGATTCTCCCGCCTCAGCCTCCCAAGTAGCTGGAATTACAGGCAAACGACACAATGCCCAGATAATTTTTGTATTTTTAATAGAGACAGAGTTTTACCATGTTGGCCAAGCTTTTGATCTCAGGCAATCCACTCGCTTCAGCCTTCCAAAGTGCTGAGATTACAGGTGTGAGCCACCACGCCCAGCCATATTGATATTTTCTATGTGTTTGTTTTGTTTGGGGTTTGGTGAGTTTTTTGAATCTATTAGTTCATACTTTTCATCTAATTTGGAAAATTTAAATGACTTTTCTTAAAATAATTTTTCTAATCCTTGGCTTCTCTCTCTTCTTTTCTGAAACTTCAGTTACATGTTAGTTGGTGAGCTTGATATTGTTCCACAAATTACACAGACTTTTTTTTCTTTGCATCAGTATGCATAGGTGATATCACTGTATCCACAAATTCATCTATGTTTCCTTCTGAAGTGCTTAATTTGTATTTAACCTCAATGAGCATATTTCCATTTTATATTTGCTTGTATGTTTATGCATGTGATGTTTTGCATATGTTCTTATTTTTTTCTCCTGATTTTTATTATTACTTTTAAATTCCGAGTATTTTTGCAATAGCTGCTAAGAAACGTGTCTGCTAATTTCTGTATTTCTATGATGTTTGGTCTATTTTTATTAAATAGTTTTTATCCAGTGGATGGATCACATTTTATGTTGTTGTTGTTTTTTTTCCTTTTTTGGTACATGATTATTTTCATTGGATGCCATCACTGCATTTATTATGGTGTTAACTATCTGTATTTTGTTGCCTTTCTCTACAGAATTTTCAACTTTGAGTTTTCAGGGAGTTAACTTACTATTTCTGGCTATTAAGCTTTGATAGGATGTGTTTGAAGTAGTTAGAATTTTCAGAGAAAATATAGGAAGCCCAGTTAAATTTGAAATTTAAAATTTGAAATTAGATAAACAAAAACAAAACATTTTTTATGATAAGCATACCTCATGTGTTATTATAAATTAAAAATTGGGACATTAAGCTGAAACTTCAATTCTAATACTTGAGACCTCCATATATAAAAATGCTGTTTATCTGAAATTGAAATGAACTAAGCATCCTGTATATATTTTTTTTTAATTTGGCAACCCTAGGATTTATCTACTGGGGTCTCTATTAAATGATCCAAGTACTCACCAAGATCTCTCTCCTTTGGCTGGCTGGAAGTTGACCATCTCCCATCCTGTATGACCTCTAGGAATTTCTTAGCTTACGGCTTCCTGACAATTTTCTTTGCCTGAGCTTGTGAGTTTTCATCCTGTGTTTGTGTAGCTTTGTCTTCAGACAAGGAGTTAAGAGAAACCCTGTTTACATGTCTTGGATTCTGTATTAGTTTTCTATGGCTGCTGTATTAAATGATCACAGATTTAGTTGTTTAATACAATAGAAATTAATTCTCTCGTAGTGCAGAGGCCAGAAGTCTGAAATCAGTATCACTGGACTGAAATCATGGTGTCAAGCAGGACCACACTCCCTCTGGAAGCCCTCATGGAAAATTCACTCTTGCATCTTCCAACCTCTGGGGACTACAGGAATTCCCTAGCTTGTGGTGTAATCTTTCCATTCTCTGCCTCCATGGTCATGTTTGCGTCTTCACTTCCGTCTGCCAAAATGCCCTATGTTTCTCTATATTATGAAGACACTTGTGTTGATTGCACTTAAGGTTGACTTGGATTATCCAGGATAATCTCCCTTTCTCAAAATTCTTAATCATATCTGCAAAGA